TTTTGTCATTTTTTATCCTTTTTAATTGATTCTTTTTGCAATTGTTTTGCATTTTTGCATATTTTCACATGGTGTTTTAATATCCTAAGAATTCTCAATTTTGAAAACACTTTGCATTAAAATTTGTCATGCTTCTTTTAGGATTTTTTACCCTCCTAATCGTTCAAAATTTTTTATTCATTTTTCTTAAGTTGGTTGTTGTGCTTGATGTGAGCTTTTGTTTGTCAACCTTTTGTGTTTGTAATTGTATTGTTTTTGTTTGTAAGCATCATATTTGTTTCACTTGATTAACATGTAGAATCCCCTTGAAGTTTTTAAACTTCACACTTACATTTGTTGTGACTTTATTGCATAGGCATGATGCCTGTAAATACACGTCATCTTGTAAACCCTTTGAAACCCCTTTCTTCATTAAGATATTGCTTTGGTTTTCATCTTTCATTAGGTTTGGATAGGACCTTCCCCCCTAATACCTCGGTCCCGTACCGAGTACCCCTTTTCAAAACACCTCTCAACAAGCAATCATAATATTTCTTTGTATTGAATAAAAAAGAGAGGATTAAGTGTATACTTCTTCCTCTCCGAGTGTGGGGATGCTCACTGTAGTGTGGTTGGTTTCAACACTTGTCCTTCAATACGAAGACGCTTATACGTTTTCGTTCCCCCCTAATACCTCGGTCCCGTACCGAGTACCCCTTTTCAAAACACCTCTCAACAAGCAATCATAATATTTCTTTGTATTGAATTAAAAAGAGAGGATTAAGTGTAGACTTCTTCCTCTCCGAGTGTGGGGATGCTCACTGTAGTGTGGTTGGTTTCAACACTTGTCCTTCAATACGAAGATGCTTATACGTTTTCATTCCCTTTTCTCTTAAAAAACTCGACCCCGTACCAATTGTATTTTCAAATACTTCCATAAAGCAATCCATATCTCTTTATTTTGAATTAAAAGAGAGGATTAAGTGTAGATTTCTTCCTCTTTGAGTGTTGGGATGCTCACTGTAGTGTGGGTGGTCTCGATACTCGTCTTTCAATACGAAGACGCGACTTTATCTACCACCTATCTCTTTTCCCACCTCTTCCCACAACTTCCTTCTTCTCACCTAAAACCTCGGTCCCATACCGAGTGCATTTTCAAACTTCTTTTCATAACAAAAACTTGAATGGTCGTGGAGTGGTTAGGCGTAGGCTTTCTCCTATCCCGAGTGCTGACATTTACTGTAGGGTTTACAGTTACAAAAGCACTTACCATTCAAAACCAAAATCCTTTAATAGGAGAACGAAGTTCTATTTGCATTGAATTAAAGAGAGAGGATTAAGTGTAGTCTTCTTCCTCTCCGAGCGTCAGGATACTCACTGTAGTGTGTGTGGTCTTGATACTTGTCTTTAAATACGAAGACGCTACGTTTGCCACACCTTTCATAACAAAAACTTTGAGATAAATAATTGGGTACTACCAGTAGGGGTTACTATCCGAGGACTTATCTCGCCCCCTAAAAACAACCCACAAATCAAATGTGACATCTTGCCTCGCATGGCGAAAATCTAATCATTTCAAAAAGGATATGTTACGTCTGTTCTACCGCAAACAGGTAACGCTTAAGTCTCCTCACATGCGAGCAGCAAAACACCTAAACTGCTAGAATGCGCACGATAACATCATCCATAAAAACATTAATCAACCGTAGGTCGAACTACAGTTGCTCTGATTCTTTACTTCTTTTAAGTAAAGATACGTAGGCATAAGGGTCACAATCCTTGCCGAGCATATACACTCCCCATATATCCGTAGCCCCGAACTACGTCGACTCTGACTTTCTCATGCCTTTTGAGAATACGTAGGCTTAGGACTGCAAAGTCCTATCGAGTCTGTTCTTTCTCTTTTCTTCCCCGTTCTCTCATTCCTTCTAACCTCTCGTTTTCCTGTTTCAATCCCTTTTCTCCCCCCTTTGGAACACTATTTTATAGCATAATCTTTAAGCAAATAAATTCACATATCGACAAGCAAATGGTTCCCATCGAGTACGATGGATGCGAAGGGTGCTAATACATTCCCTTTGCATAACCGGCTTCCGAACCCGTTCTTGGTCGCGAGACCATTTTATCCTTTTCTTTCTTAAGGTTTTCTCGATATTTTCCTTTCCCCTCATGGGATAAATAAAGTTCGGTGGCGACTCTTCTGTCCTTCCCTTTTCGCCTCCCCGTCGTTGCGCGATGCATTTTTCGAGTAGCGACAATGACCTTCATAATCTCTTTCTTTCTTTTGGTCTCTGCGTCGCGTGTTCACCCTTTTTACGTCAATATGTGCGTGTTTCTCTGCCTCTTCTCAACCGTGTGTGATATTGTGATTTCCGATGATTGTCTTTGCACTGCTATGTTGTGGTGTGTATGGTTTAGGGTATGAGTCTTGCTTACTAATTTTTTGTGAATGTATCTGATTCTCTCTTACTAATATGATGCTCTCAGTTTTTTTTCCTGAAACAGTGTGTGTGCTATGTTCTGAATTTTGTGAATTTGTCTCTCTCAACTTTGTATACTGATGTCTGTCCCCGATTCTTATGATATGTCCAGTTTTTAAACTAGCTGGTTAAAATATGAACTGAATGCCATTAATATTATTGTAAAGTATTGTCTTGGAAAGAATTCAAAATATGTCGAGAATTTGTTTTGGAAAGAACTAGGCTGCTGCGAACACATTTTTTATGACAATAATGTTATTTTTATTCCAATTCAAACATGTTTGGTTGTGTGATGAATTCCTTGATTTCTTTCCACACAAGGACATAAACCGAATTGGGTTGGGATAGTCGGGGCGTATTACTGGTGAAATTCAGAACCCTTCCTATCACTCATCTCATGCAGTTAGCAGAAATGTCAGCATGGAGTTCAAAGGCTCGTTAAGTTCTTACCGAAGTAACAAAACTGTATGTTTCTATCATAATCGGTATTCTCTTCAAACTTTTTATTCTTTAAACTTTCCATTGAATAATCTCTCCATTGAGTAATCTACTTTCTTTTATGAATATTATTGCAGACATCTCCAATATTCACCTTTGCAATCTCAAGCTGGACTGTGTTATGCTGGATTTATTTTATATTAATGCTAGAATTATAACACTGTTATTATTATTTAAGTTTTAGTAATTTGTTGTAATCATGTTATGTTGGATTATATTTTGTATTAGTGCTGGAATTATGTTTAGTTTATTGGATTTATGTTGGAATTTAGTATTTAGTAATTTATATTTGAGTTGGAATTAAATTGTATGTCAAAATGTGTTACTGGACTCTATAAAAACCAACCTAATAACCTGATTAAACCGTGTGTATTAACCCGCAACCCGTGCTTACCCAGCCCGTCCAAACCGAGAAAATTTTACCTCATACCATATCATTTATTCCTCTACCCCTACATTATATTTTTTTGACCAAAATATCCTCATATAAATATATGTAAATAAATCTATCTTTAAAAGCTAATTTATCAATATTCTCAACAAACATGACAAGTATTATCTATCTATACTATTATATAATCTTATAATGTCTCCATCAAAAATTTCCCGTTAAGTTTTTTTTCTTTAATTAATTAATTAAACATAAATATAACTTTGTGGAAAAAAAATGTATAAATTGATGAGATATAAATTTGATTAGTGAGAAGATAACTTTGTGGAAAAAATGGAATACAATAATGAAATTAGTGGGGGCTATAAAAAACTTTAAATTTTGTGAAAAAATAAAATAAAGTAATGAAATTAGTGGGGGCTATAAAAAACTTTAACCGTTTATGAATTATATTTATTAATTTATTTTTGTATTAAGTAATTTTAAGGTTTGCATTATGTTTTATTTATTTATTTATTTTAATTTAATATTATTATGTATCCTATTAATGTGGAGTTAGAAAGATGTTAGGAGTAGATAGAGGTTAATTGTTTGCTTGATATGAATAGAGAGTGTTGAGTGGAGAGAAATTTGAGAAATAAACATGTTAAATATTTTAATTTAATTATTATTTAATTAATAATAATAATATTTAATTATTAATAATAAAAGATTAATTAATAGAATGAAGAGAAAAGTTATGCTGGATAGTTATTATGTTAACATATTATTGGTGGGTGACTGCATTTAAAAAAAAATCAGGACATGTTTTATTGTATTTGTTAATTAATAATTATTTAAAATACAATAATGTGACTTAATCATAAGTTTTAAATGGAGTTAATAATAAATATATTTATATTTAATTAATTAATTAGAGGAAAAAAATTTTGTGAAACTTTTTTGATGGAGACATTATGAGATTATATAATAATATAGATAGATAATATTTGTCATGTTTGCTAAGAATATTAATAATGTAGCTTTTAAAGATCGATTTATTTATTAAATTACATATCAAATAATTAAATCAGGAAAATTTTACATTTATTTATATGAGGATATTTTGGTAAAAAAAAATATGACATAGGGGGTAGGAGAATAAATGATGGGGTATGGAGTAAAATTTTCTCAAACCGATTGCAGAAATAGACGGAAATGGGCCTACGTATGTAAACCGCAGGTTGAGTTGGGTGTGACTTTTGGGCCCGAAACCTTTCAACCCGGCCCGTTGTCCAGCCCTATATATATATATAAAAGTATAGATGACCTAATAATAAAATATATTCCTATTTAGCAAGAATCGTGTGCCGCGCAATGCTTGTGATACTACAGTAGGGTACAATAAGAAACGGAGCGTATATTAGGTTCTCTATTCTTCAACCGATCCTTGTTTGTTCATCACTTCCCTCCTCTCTCCAAGAGGGTTTGATTTTTCATCCTCACCGTTCCCTCCATCACTTTCTCGCGAAATTCCATTCTCAATCGTTACCTTCTCTTTCGCATTCTCGCTTCAATTCTATTCCGATTACGCTACGAAAAATCATTGAAGTGTTGAATTTAGGGTTTCTTTCTATTTTTCATCTGTTTACCGCGTTTGTTTGCGATCGGAGATGGGGAACATAGATTGTTCCGATGTCAGGACGTTCAAGGCCAATTTCACCGCCGAGGGAGTGACGGTTTTGAGGGAGAAATTGAACGAGAAACTGAAGGAGTTGATGGGGAATTACACTGACGAAACACTCGTGGTACGAGTTCAATGACTCTATCTGTTACAATGTGGATTCATATGTGTTGTTATAATGTTGTGCATTGCATGAATGAGTTTAATTTTGATACATTGTTAGGGTAATTTTGATACATTGTTAGGGTAATTTTGATACATTATGATTATAGTCAAATATTTTTAATGATAACTACTATTGTGATTGAGTTATGGTGAAATAAAACTATATATTGACAATGTATATGAATTAAATTTTCATAGGCTGCATATTCTATAAGAACTACTTATGGATCATGCATTTTATTAGTTTTTGCAACGGTTTTCTTTCCATATAACAACATTATTTGATACATTGTTAGGAGATGATGTCACTACAGCCATTAAAACTTAAAAGTCGAGGCTATAATTTATAATTCATCCGAGAATCTTTTGCAGAATGCATGCTAATTACTTTTTGACATTTGCTTTCATCTGCATGCCCCGAAAATGATAATACTATGATCAACCTGTTTTGAGAATATGTAGGTAACTTTAGAACGGAGTATATTTGTTTCAGTCAGATTGAATTTGACACTTGAAAATACAGATTGATGAGTATATATAACCTATATTACCAAGAACAGAATGATATGTGGATAAACAAAGATTCATTTTGGGAAAATATGCTAACAACATTACAGATGCAGGTTTTTTTTTTTTTTTAAAGATTCCCGACACAGTTGAAAACACTAGCTGTTTGTGGTTTCAGAAGATATAGGAATCCTTTTCATAAATTAATTAAATGAGAAATTTTTAGTTTTTTAGTCATTGTGTTGGTACTCTCTCTGCTTGATTTTCAAGAAAGTAGCTGTGAAGTTAAGAACAATCAGTGTCGGGCTTGATGATGTTGATTCAACTTGGTCATGGATGATGGTTTGGGTTATATTACTTACTGTTGTATTGCTGCTTCTTCTGGGGTTGGGTGGTTGTCTGAAATATAATAAAAATATTGATATAGTTCATAGTTGGTTCTTTTATTGTACCAACTGTGAAATTTATGATAAAGTACTCGGTTATGATGTACTTTTATAGATGATGGTCTTCTATAATGTTTTAATCTGTATTCTGAATCACCACCATCATCATTATAGAATCCCTATGCTCGAGGAAGTTTATGCGCCCCCTACTGTTGAGTGGTACTTTTGAAATGTACCACACTACCACTCTATGATGCAGTTGGATTCTTGTGTTTTATTTGAAGGATAAATTTTATATACCTTGTTCTTCTATAGTCATGAAGGAGAAGAATAAATGAATAAAACAAACTCTTTTTTTCTTGTAGAACACATCATGTCATATAATCAACACCATTGTTAGTGTAACAATGAAAATGTGACAACCTAGTTGTGTATTAAATTTTAGCTTTGTGAGTAAATAGCATGTGCACTTTTTAGTTAAAGGTTCTTCATTCTTTTATTTCATTTTTGGTACATGTTAGACTTAGTTGAATGAGTATGACATTTCTCCTGTTCGTTTAGTTTTTTAATACTGTATGTGTGGTATTTGTTGGCTGGGTAAACGTAATTTACTGTGGAATATTACAGTTTCCATATGAAAGAATTGGCTTTATTGATTTAAATTATTTGTTATTACAAATGAAAATTGACATTCACCTGATGCACTGGCAGGATTATGTTATTGTGTTACTGAGGAATGGTAGGGGCAAAGATCATGCAAAGAATAAGTTGAATGTTTTTTTGGGGGAGGACAGTGATTCTTTTGTATCCTGGTAACTTCTGTTTAGCCCCTTTTTGATGGATACCAGTAAATTTGATGTGATTGCTAGCAATGTAGTACTTACAAGTTACAACCATGATTCTTGTTAACAGGCTGTGGGATCATTTGGCTTTGAATATAGATCTATATGTAGAATCTAAAGGATTGCAGGATGAAGCTCCCAAAAGCAAGCTTATATCAAAGGTCCAAGCCGGAGATGATGGTTTTCAGAATTTGAATTCAAAATCAGAAAGAGTAAAGTCTAGAAGTCGCCGTAACAAAGATTGGAAAGGGTTAGTGTGTAGAGAAGCTGAAGCACCACCCCTGCAGAGCTTTGTGGTTGACAGTATGCATTTAGACAAAAAAGTCCAATCTAAAGGCAACCGTGCTCCAAGGCCACGACCACCATCTTCTGCACCACCTGTTCAGAGGAAAAGGGGTTGTGCTTTTGAAGAGAAGAAGACTAAGGTTTGAACCACTAATGATATCATTCTGATATTTTATATCCTAGTTCTTCTACATCACTAATAATGGGTTTATCATGGAATAATATTTGCTTTAATGGTTTTATTTTCACTTGATTTGGACACTGCATCCTTGCATTTTGGAAGTGTCTTGAATAAATAAGTTAGCCCCCATTACTTATTGTTAATCTGTACTCATGTTCTTTTAGATCCAATGCCAAGTGATTAAATTACGTGCTATTTGAATAGAATTTTAGTTCAGTTCTATTTTCCTTGTTAAGTTAACTTCTTTGTCCATTTTTATTATTGTATAAATGGGTAATACATCTTGATTTTATTGCTTTCAAGCATCTAACTTACCAAATACCTTTGGCAGAGGGGTTCTGTTTCACAAATAACTGATGATGCTCCTCGACGGCTGCTTCAGTTTGCAGTGCGAGATGCAGTGGCTACTTCCAGGCCATCTAATTTGGGCCCTTCAGTGGAGCCCTCTTTAAAGCGACTCCGTTCTGTAGTTTCTTCATCCTCGGTTGAGTCATCTATGGTTGAACATCCTCACAGGATGCAGACTATTTCCAGAGTGGCAAACCCCATGGCAGCATTGTTTAAGGCTGTGGAAGAAGCTGCTGAAGATGTTGTAAAGTTAAAATCCTCAAGAAGTGTGTTTGATCGGATTGGTTGTGACATGTACCCATCATATGGTAACATGCAACATGAAGATAACCAATATCAGGACCAAAGCCCATTACTGTATCACAAAGAAAAAGACTCTGGTGATCAGTATGCTGCAAATATGACAATGTTGGAACATGAAACTGGGTTTTCTTCCAATTCTTCTTCAGACAATGAAGGGTTTGATGATGTTAATTTCACAGATAATAGGGTGGGTAGAGTTTCTCAGTTGAGTTCTTCTAGTGGAAAGAGGGGCGAGGATTCACTGATGGTGCACTATAACGTAGCAAAAAATGAGAATTGTAGAATGCTTCTAAAAAAGAATAGAAACCAGGAGCAATCTGCTGCTGCACCCAACACTTCCAAGATAGTGAATATTTCTGTTAATGTAAATGCTTGGAATCCATCAGTCCCAGCTCAATATCTTAAACCAAGAGAGGCTGCAGAATTATCTGGTTATAAGACTTTAAACAGTGGAATTGGAGCTCCAAGATCTGACCTGAGAATGGTGAATGAGAATGTTAAAACGCAGAAAATTGACAATGGAAAAGTGAGTTATTTTACTTGCATACAGTCTAATGACACTTGGAGTTTCTTTTAGCTCATTTTCATTGATGGTGTTAGCTTACGGCGTTAACAGGTGAAATCTACTTTGAATTTGCTGAAAGAGACTCAGAAGGCACAGCCATCAACTCCCGGCACCGGTGTGTTCTAAATTTCTTTTGCATCAAAGCTTCATGCTTACAGTAGGACTGTGAAAAAATATATTTTTGGTGTAGGAGATAAATATTACTAACTTTTCTGTTATTTTATCACTACATAATAGATTTGTCATTTCTAATTTATTTATCTAATGTTGCCCCTTGAGTAAAAACAAAATCTAAAGTTGCACCATTTTCTTGAGCTTTTATGTTCTCAGGTTCAAGTGCTGCCAGTTGTCCGTTATTTGATGCTGATTCTCGAACCATTTTTGCCAGCAATGTAATAACTCTTACTCATTTGTTATGGGTTGGGTAGGCACTTTGGGGTTAGGCAGGAATATAACTTGTTCACTTTCTGAAGTTGCATATTGATTTTCTCAGGTTCATTTTGCTGCTACCAAAGATGCCATATGTCGGCATTTTAATAAATTTGGGGAAGTACTAAAAGCTGTTATAGTTACAAATTCAATAACAGGGCAACCAAAAGGGTAAGAAGTTTCAGATGTTCTGGCACATTATATGTTTATGACTATGTTCATGTTCAAGATTTTTGTGTTTTTTTCTATATCATTTCACTTCTTTGAAGCAGGGCAGCTTACGTGGAGTTCATGCATAAAGAAGCAGCAGATAATGCATTATCATTGGATGGAACTTCCTTCATGTCACGTATTCTTAAGGTATTGATGTCTGCGTAGTACTTCAGTTATCTGGAGGCTTTCCTCATAGTTATTCATGTTTGGTTTTCCTTCACAGTTTGTATCTCTTTAAATTGACTAGATAGTTGAAATATGATACTGATAAGCTTTTCATTGCGTTACTAACCTTTGCTCTTGCATTTGAATGGGTATAAAGCACCTGTATGTTTCAACGATTGGGAAAAGGGTATTTGATATATTGGTCCACGAGTCAATTCTTCTAACAGGAAGTCATGAAATAAATAGAAAAACTCCCGCAATAAGAAATTGAATTATTTTAACTTTTTTTTTTTGGTTTTTGATAGAACTCAGAAAATTAGGTAAATGGATTGTTTATTTTTGAAGGACTCATTGTTCATAATTTTCCTTTTCCAATAAATCATGTTTGGAATGTAGGTGAGTTTTCATGAAGGACTCTGGACAGTAATCAATACCAAGGTTGTCAGACTCGATAGTCTATGCTGACTCGTGAAGGGTTTATAACTCGACTCATAAGAGTCTATGAAAAATAGATTATAACTTAAAAAAAACCTGTATATGATACATAAATGACATACACCCTCGTCATTATTATGAGCAAATTTCACTTTTTTTTTTGTTCATTCAACAATTGTTGTATCTGGACTATATATGGATTAGATACATCAAATGTTGAATGAAGCAAAAATGTCAAATTTGCTTATAATAGTGATTGGAGGGTGTATATAATATAAAACCAATTAACTAAAAATTCCAACTTGAAACTCCATAATAAAATTGTTAAAAGAAACTCCATAAGAAAACAAACAAGGTTGCAAAGTATGTAGATAAGGTCCGAGTTACTTCCTATGACATGATAAAAAAACATATATGTTAATGGCTTCAAAAAAGGGAATATGTACACTTCTGTTAATAGTTTTCTCAGTTCTGATCCGATCCCACCACAGGACATAACTCCTAATGTGCACAGAATATAGTTTTACCTATCTCATGTTTCTAATGCAATTTTTAAATTATGTTCATCAGCCACATGTGTTTCATTTTAGCTAATAAATGATTTGTTTGGATAGTAAATTGACTTGCTCCACTAGCGAATAACATCAGTGACCGAACTGTTCTGCTTTTAATCTTGTTACAGGTTGTGAGGAAAAGTACTGGACAACATCAAGATTATGCTCCAGCTGTGCCATGGCCACGTGGAGTTAAGAGACCTTCATATCCTTCTGCAAGTTTTTCCAGATCCCCCATTCCAACAGGCATTCCTGGGGCATTTAGACCTAGGCCCCCAATTAAGTTTGGTGCCAGGAGCTTGCAATGGAAGCGGGGTGTCCAAGGCACTTCATCAGGCAATGGTGCAACTTTAAATAACAGTAGTATTTCTGCACCTGTTTCTCGAGGTCTCACTTATGTCAGAGCAGAATCTTAAGCTAAATGGCAGCGCGGGTACCAGGTAGTTTAGTTCTTCAAGAAATAGTCACTGACTATGGTTGTTGCATCAGAGTAGCTTTAATGTCTGATGGCCAAAAAACTGAAGAAAACAAACTTCCGAAGATCAGGAGACACCGAGGCCTAATTTTTGGAATTTTATCATCTTGAAAACATTTTAGTATCTAGATATTCAAGTTAGTAAATGAAGTTTAATAGTGTTTACTTTTCATCTCTGGTTGTTGAAGCCACGGATGATATGGACATGAACTTTGTTAGAACGAAGATGGAATTGTTGGGATCATGACATCCTTTAGAAGAGAAGTTTCTGGGTGTTGATCCTGACATGGTCTTTTTTGTCGCCAGATAGTCGTGTCTTACGTTGTAAGTATTGCTAGGGAAAGAAAAATTAGAGGGAAAAAGGAGAAAACATACACAAGTAGCGTATTATTGCTTCATTCAACTTCATTGTGTACATAGATACTTTATTCTTTCTATGGTTCCAGATTGTTCTTGCTGGTGTTACTATATACATAACTGTCACTTTGTTTTTTCAGTTTTCACTTACGAGTGCATTTTTTATGGTTGATATTTGACAGATTAGTTTAGAAAACTTCTCCCCTTTATATTCCCAAAAGTCTCGCTACTTTTCAACTTTAACCCTCTCCGAGTCACACATACCTATCCGTATACCTATGCAGAACCCTTTTTCTTTTCTCTTATTTTGTCAAATTCTCAAAAACTCAACCTTTAAAATCCCAAACTCCTATTATTTCCAAGTTACGCATTTGGAAGTACATTATTTCTAAATTTACGTATCTTAGTTGTCCAATATGGATTTGAGAAATTTGACTTGGGAAAAAAGTTTTATTAAAATCATTTTTTATAGATTTGATAAATTATTCTGGTAGATTTGATAAATTAAATGTGTAATTAAAGAAATTGAAAATTTATATGCTCTACCATACACTAGCCGTTGGTATGGTATAAGATTGTTTGTGACAAATTATATGTTCGAAAACAAGCTTTGTTCTGAGAGTTTGGAGAAAAAGGTTGGAAAACAAGCTTTGTTCTGAGAGTTTGGAGAAAAAGGTATGGTATAAGATTGTTCTGACAAATTATATGTTGACAAATTATATGTTGGAAAACAAGCTTTGTTCTAAGAGTATGATATAAGATTGTTCTGACAAATTATATGTTGGAAAACAAGCTTTGTTCTGAGAGTATGGTATAAGATTGTTCTGACAAATTATATGTTGGAAAACAAGCTTTGTTATGAGAGTTTGGAGAAAAAGGGAAGGGGAAGATTTTCAAAAAAGAGAAGCATTGAGTAGTTTGTATGGTGTATGCTAAAACTTTGTTTGAGAGTTTGGAAAAAAAGAGGGGAAGATTTTGAAAAAAAGAGAAACAATGAGTGAAAATAATAGAGATTCAGGTGAAGAGGATTTTTGGAAACTTATATTTATTCAAAAATCAAAATTTCCTTAATTTAGAATGTAAAAAGTCATATTGGAAGAAGAGTTTTAGAGGGTTTAGACATTGTTCAAATATTTTATGTTATTATAGTATTTTTAAAATTAAAAATATATTAATGATAACTATTATTTTTTAATCATTTTATAAAAAGTCATTTTTAAAAAAATGTTCAAAATTTCTCTGCATTTATTAAAAGTTTACTTTTCTAAAACGCTCTATTCCTCTCCTTTCCAAACTCCTAAACAAAGTCTAATAGTATTCAGATTCAAGAATATTATCATACTTTCTGAGTTTTGAGTTGAAGGAAAAATTGGATGATCTTTTTAAATTTGGTAATACTAAAAAGGTGTTTCCTATTAATTATCTTGTCTATTGATGATGGACGTCTTTGTTACAATAATATTAAGTTGAGAATGACAATGATGCGAGATGACAATAATGTGAGAATAATGTTTTTTTTTTACACGAACCAAGAGGCTATGTTAGTAAGCTCTACGTATATTATTGAGATTAATTTTGTTTGTCCAAGGATCATCGGACAAAAATATGTTTTGAATCTTAAATAGAGATATATAAATATAGGGATATCTATTATATCCTACGAATTAGGGTTAGAAATGAGTCGAGTCAAATTCATCTCAGTTCGACTTGATTTATCAAATTTTGATTCGAGTTCGATATAATTTCTTTTAAGCTCAAATTTGACTCGTTATAAATTCACGAACAATTCGATTCATCTAGTTAGATTCATTAAATTCGATTCATCTAATAACATGTGTTATTTTAGCGAAATGTCATAATGCCTCCAACAATGATGGCTCTAGATGCAGTTGTCAACTTTACTGCCATAACTAATACGAAAGAGACAATATAGCATTAAAATTTGGAATAAATCTTTAAACATACTCTTAAAGATAATATAATCATTCTCATATATAATCGAGTTGACTCGTGAACCTAACGACTCGAACTATGTATAGTTCAAGTCCAACTCATTTAGTTAAAGAACTTAATTTTTCGCTCCTATTCAATTCATTGGTTCATATATTTAGTTCAACGATTCAATTTCCGAACTGAGATGAAAAACATCCAACGGAAAATTTAAAATGCCACTCAGATTTCAGAAATTCATTTGCAAACGCACCTTCTTTTTAAATTAAAACATTAAGTGATCCAGAAATACATCTTCAAAATATTTTAATACATGCATCATAAATCACATTCAAAAAGACGTTTGAATTCTTTAAATAGGATCCATTTAATTTTTCATATTATATTATTATTTTTTATTTTCTAAACAATTTTATTACATTTTTCAAATATTCTTACAACTCATTAAAAATTTAAAAATGAGTCCCATCATATCTCAGAATATACCTCAGATTTATATTATATAAAAAAATAATTGAAGCAACTTAATTTTACTGGTTCAGCACGAGAAAGGAAAGAACGCTCTCACATTTGAGAACGTGGTTAAATGTAACTACTTAATTTTTTAAAATCAAATATCCATACCCTCTTACACTATTTTCTTATTCTTTGTGTAACAACGTTGATTTGGCATGCATAATCACGCTCTTAGAGCATAATTATACATTACACCCGATTAAGTCCTTTAAATGAATCCTATTTAATTTTTTATGATATTATACTCTTTCTAATTATTTAAACATTTCTATTAGAATTTATAAATATTCATATAATTTAACAAAATCAGTTAAATAGATCCCACTAAACATGTATTATACTACACATTTAATTAATTATATTATTTTAATCCAATTTATAATTAAGGGACATGTTTTCCTGCAAAAACGTTCTCATATTAAACCACACTCTTTTGAATCAATTGTTTAAATTTTTCTGACAACGTGCCTTTGGATACTGTGTAACAACAGTGACATGGAGTGATAATAGTGCTTTAAAAAATATAAATGAGTTGTTTAAATAATTAAAAAATATAAAATAATATAAAAAATTTAATATGGTCCACTTAAAGAATTAAAATGAGTTCTTTGGATGTGGATGCTTTAAGAACTCTGTTATGTGATGAAACTTAAACCATACAATCGATATGTAAAAAATGACATATATAAATTTAGATGGTCCAAAATGACATATATAAATAAGGTGGAATTACACGATAAAATAGAATGAAGTGAAAATAAAATACAACCCATATTGAATCCACAAATACAACTACTATATATTACTGTGTATGCCAAACTACAACTCCTCAGGCTCCTCGTACTCTTCGGCCTCCTTTACCCCAGTCCTCTGATGTTGTCTCAGGTACATCAGTGCCTCTGGTGTCCTCGTCATAATGGCATCTAGGATCTGCTTCAACTTAGACCCATCAAGAAGATACCTCTGTCAATGTCTGTCTGCACAATCTTCACTATGAAATGACATATAGGCAAGACATCATGAGCATGATCAAACTGTTCCTGCTCCTCATCTAGTATCTCCTGATGAGCTGACCTTAGTGGATCTCCTAGAGTAGTATGCACCATATACGGATGTGAGACCTTGAAGAACCACCTGATGTACCTGTCGACGTAGCTCCATTCGCTCTTTAATATGATACTTTGTGCCTCTTCCAATATCAGATGATTAAGATAATCATCAAACATGGCATCCATCTCTCTACATGTCATAGCAGGAGGAGCAAAAACAACATAATGTCTGGGAATAGTCTACGTGTAGCTGAACTGCCTCATGACACGATCAGGCAGATGAGGAAATGTGAGACGTGAGCTGCAAGCCAACAATCTAGAGTATAACACTATACCGTCAAATAACCGCGTCTCATGGTAATTGACATAACAATTGAAGTGCATATCCTCGACAAAAAAATGGTCAAGATACACTTTAAACGACTCCATTGCCTGGTTCCCTCTAAGTAGGGAAAATGCATAAGCATGCAACATATCCTTAGTGTAAGTCAGTACACACGACCATCCAGAGATACACAAGAAGTGCTGGAGGATCCAAGACTGAAAAGTGTTGGAACACATATGTATATACTTTTTTCAGGAATTTAAACCTAGCATGGGCCTCTATGGTTTTTTCAAAGTCCCTCATGGCATTGTAACGCCCGTTTTATTTTGATTAAATTCAATTATGACTTTGCTATGTCTCGTTGCGTCGTAGTCGTAGTTGAGTATGTGTTTGGATCGAAGGAAGGAATTGAATCGGTCGAATTGTCGAGAAAAAGTGAAAAATTCCGTAGCGGTTTTAGGAAACTTCGAAAAATCATATCTCTTGATCCGTAAGTCGGATTTGACCCCCGTTCGAAGCGTTGGAAAGCTAAAGAGATGTTCTATCTAGAAAAAAATTGAATTTTTCTGATATGACGATCGTCATGGACTTGCCACAACCGTCACGACCGTGACGCTCGTCATGGACTTACCACGACCGTCACGACCGTGACGCTCGTCATGGACTTGCCACGACCGTCACGACCGTGACGCTCGTCATGGACTTGCCACGACCGTCATAGTAACGAAATTCAGTTAAATGCAA